CGTTCGCTCATTCTCTCCTTCACTCATCGACATGCACAATGGCAAAGTAAACGGTAAACTTTAAATAAGATCACATCGATAATGTCCATGTGAGGTTACACTAATCGATTAAATTTTACACGCTGAACACACAGCGAGAGCGAGCATGAGAGAGAGAGAGAGAGAGAGAGAGAGAGATAGAGAGAGAGTGCTCAAAGAATCCTGGCGACGCCACACAAGTGTTTGGAACGAAAATGCATCTGTCAATGGGTAAAAATCAACGGTGAAACGGTAATGTAAATAGATGCTGACACCATGTCATTAATTACAATCGTCACAACACACACAAACACACAGCAGAATTTCATTCGCAATTAGACATGATTTTACTGTAACGAACTGACTCATTCCCTTTCGCACACCGTTCTTCACTAAACTTTCATTTTAAGAACTGTCTGGCAAGCGGAAAAAAGGGATCCCTTTTTTCACTTCGTCGACGTCTTTTATGGGTTTTTGACAGTCGTCAGGTTGGAAAGTTGATGGACTACACTGCAAAATCGGGTGATAGCTTGCATCAAATTTCTATGTGTGCAAAGTTATGTGTTCTTTTTTCTCAGCGATGCTCTTTGTGCGGTGTGTGTGTGTGTGCGATGAGCTGATGCGCGGTCGGTTATGTACTATATGTATGGGGAAAATTGTGAATGTGAACGTTCAGATGATTGATGATGCTGTACAAAAGCATTGGCGTGCAAATATTGCACAGTAAGAAATGGGGTCTCAAAACGACATATTACAACAACAACAACAACAAACTAGTGAAATGAAAAAGAAAATAATTATTTCACGTTAAATTTCCGCCACGTAAATTAAATCTCATCTGTGCCCCGTGCACATCTGTGCGCGCCGTTTCCGGCACTGCATCGCGCGCGCATTATGGATGGATGGAAAAATTGAGAAGAAAGCAAACTGCAAAATGCGAAAAATGATTCCATTGCAATTGTGGCAAAATGTGCTCGCACATTCTCTCTCTCTTTCTCTCTCTCCAAAAAATGCATTCATTATTTTTCGCGAGCGAGTGCGCACTTGCAACGTCATCGCATTCGCTTATAGTTTGCACTTGATGCACCTTCCAGCTAAATGCATTCGTCTATTTTACCTTCCCTTCGTCGTTGCTGCTGCCACCGTTGCCGCCATTGCACATCAACAGAAAAACAAATAATGGATCACATAACTTTCAGATCAAGCTCAATTCGTAATTAAGAGGCACAACAGCTTCTGGAGGTATCCTAAAAAACAAAAACTTCCGAGAATAAAAATGATGCTCGTTTATTGTTCATTTCTGTTGTTGGAAATTCGTTTGTGATGTATCCTCTTGGTATATGACGTATGCATGTTTCACATGGCATTCGTTTATGTTCCTCCGTCAAGTCACACATCAAATGCTACCATCATTGATGTGCTTAAAATTAAAACGGACACACTGTTGTGTTCGTCTATTGGTTCGCCCGATGGCACGACGAACTCAATTAAATCGCAACAACAATGTAGAGTAGCCTGACAAACTCGAAACAAAGTGCTTAAAATAGAATCGAAGCTTTGCGTGCGAAATTGAAAGCCCTTTTTTGATCGACATTTTCGTGACAGAGTCGAAATTTCACCGAAAACGAAACGAAAAAAAAGAACCACTTTGACAGCAATGTTTTTCCCTTATAGCTGCTGCTAATGTGATGATATCATCGCCATTCATGGTGAAATCGTGCGATATTCATTACATAAATTCACTATTTATCTTATTAATAAATGTTATCATCAGCGTTTGGTTGGTTGGTTGGTTGGTTGGTTCGTTCGTTCGTTCGTTTGCACATCAGCATTTTTGGCTTCGCGTTATGCGAGAGTTACAAACTCCGCAAAGGGGAAGTCATAATATGGAAGTCACTTACGCATATGACACTTATTTCAAGTAATTATGAGGGAAATAAACGACTTTGAAGCCATAATGCGTTTGAACGCAGTGTGTAACACAATGTTAAATGAAGCCACGTATTCAACGGTTTAATCAGTTCAATGCCTTACAATGCGAGAATTTGTATCTCTTTCTCTTTCTCACACTCTCCGCGTGTGTCTGACACACGAACTTTATTCCAGTCGCAAATTGACAAGTAAATGGGTATACAGTATACACACTCCATAATTTCTGTTCAAATATATGACCTGTAATGAGTGCCTGTGAGTATGTGTGTGTGTGTGTGTTTGTGTTTATGTATGTTTGCTGTTTTGGGCCACGGATTTTGATCACTGGCCCTAGCATTGTTGCTTGAAACCGATAGACACACAAACTTTTCTATAGGTGAATTAATGAATTCAATTAAGATAAATAACCATGATTTAATGCAAACGGATGAATTTAATAGTGAAACCTTATCTATGAATCGCAACTAATACACTTGCAGCTGGGTCGCACTGTGATTAGTGGTTAGATAATGGGCCCGGCTGCAAAAAAAGGGAAAATTGAAAAATTATGAACGGTTTTAGCTGGTGTGTCGTAATGTGTTTGCATTTTAGTTTTTGTGTGTTGGCAAGCGCTCAGATTTACTTTGGTATGGGCATTCATTTGTTCGTTCGTTCGTTTGACCTAACGATTTCATTCTGGCTCGGATCATACGCGTTAACCCTAAATAAGTACCACAATGGCGATTTTAGAAGACAAATTTCGCAAATCGGCATGAACCAATACCAAAACAACAATGACCATTAGACTGACAACAATACGGGAAAGTGAGCTAGAAAGAGTGTACGCGAATGGGAGAACTAGCAAGTAAAACCAAACAAGAAATATGTGAGCTGTTTGGCAAAAATTCGGAGTGAAATACACAAAATGCGGTCATAATTTGCACACCACGAACTTTGCATACGGGGTCCTTTGTTTGTATGTATGTAAATATTTGTGTTTGCCTTTGTGTGTGCGCACGATGGTGTATATACAATTATATACGCAGAATGGTGCGGTATAGCCACGGCCGAGACCGAAACAACAACAGAGGAAAAACATTAAATTGCCACACAAAATCGATAGTGACCATCGGTTTATTGGATTATCTATAAATTTTTTATGATATGATTTACCGAAAATAGTCGGCATATCCTTTGCAGGCACTTTTGGGGCCAAAGCATTTTGCTTGTCCACTGCACAGATACAATGCACTCGCTGCGTGTGCATATGTTTGTGTTTGTGTTTGTGCTTGTGTAAGCCATAAACAACGACATTATTTTCTGATATAAACACTAAAGACAAAATATTATTAGCTACTGAAGAGCGGGTGCGTGTAGTAATTTCCCATGCATTTCAAATGTAGCCTTAAATAAACACATGCCCAGGCAAATGCATGAAACGGCCGCCAGCACCACCATCGCCGCAGTCGTCGCCATTGCCGCGGCCGCATTCGGCACATCATGCATCGATTAAATCGAATCAAATCGAAAGAGCATAGCGCCAATGTCGAATTCAAATGTGATCCAGTCCGATGTGGTTCTATCGTGTGCCGATATCGATGTTACAATGCCTTCGAACTTTTCAACACACTAAAGGGTGTGTACTGTACTGTGTGTATACGGCAGTGTTTGCGAACAATGTACACAGTAATGAATTCATTGGAAGTAAATTAAGCTTATCGCTTTTGATAACAGCAAATGGCACGAATCGCGGCCCCACCGCCGGTCCGCTCCGGACAATGTTTTCAACGGTGTATGTTAATGGAACAATAGAATAACAATGGTAATTTTTGACTTGAAAGCGACGGTGGCGGCCGCTGTTTGGTTTTCCAAAGGAAACAATTTCTGCAGTCCGCACATCATGCGATATTGATTATTTGCTATTCATCCATAATACATGAATCTTTCTACGTCAAGCTTTCGAGAATGGAAGACATAGAGAGAGAGGGAGAGAGAGAGAGAGAGAGAATAGACGGGTGGCATTTTTTTCTGCTTACCTCAGCTGGCCACTTTTCATACATATTTCGATTTTATTACGTGCAATTTTCTGGATTTTACGTATTGTAGCCGTGCATTGATTTCCCATACAAGTCATTTCAATTATTGTTTCCATGAGTGATTTGGCATATCGGCCTCTTTTGGTCATACCGACTTTTTTCCGTCGTCTCTTGTTTGCTTATTTATTTACTTCTTTTTTTTCATTTCTACATTTGGTGCAATGACCGGTTGCGTTTCTACTGATAAATATATGCATTACTCACGTTTGAAAATCGTATATGAAGCACTTCCATGGAAGTGGAACAAATACGCTGTCGTGTTTTTCGCACACACGAAAATACAATTGCAACCGTGCATTACTGTGAGCACTTTCTTCTTTCGCTCTCACACGGTATATTGTATGCATCCGTCGCATTTTGAATCGATAGGATTTATACAATAAAATCGATCGGATCACAATTACAAACCATTAGTGCAGACTCATTTTGAATAGACAATGCATGTTGAACTCGTTAAGTAAATAATATATACGTTCACATCTGGTTGACAACATTTACCTCTTCCAACTCACCTCCGCTTTGGTCCCTTCGGCACTCTTGATTATCCGGAATGACGTGCGATGAGCCATTCATGGTGTTTTTCTTTCCTGCATTCAGCCCACAGCCGTATTTTGACCGATTTCATTTTGCCCATCGCTACAATACACGCTCGAAAATCGAAACAACAACTATATTTTTCGGGTGATTTTGACGTGTTTGTACATATATGTGTTCCAACTAAAACCATCGATAACCCAAAATGGAATAGTAGAGAGTGACTGACTGAAGCTTATTGGTCTATTAGTCATGCACCGTTTAAACGATTCAATTTAATTACAATTGTCATTTTCAAGCACACAAGTGCTTTTTCGTTATTATAATGAACGCACGCATTGATGCATCAAATCAAAATCTTTTCCACTTCAATAATAATGTTTTAATCAAATGATGAATATCCATCCATTCATATATTTTTTTTCTGCTTTTTAATTACAGGTTTTGGATTCGTCACATTTCAAAGTGAAGATGTCGTGGACAAAGTGTGTGAAATACATTTTCATGAAATAAATAACAAAATGGTAAGTTATTGTTTGAAACGTAAAAACAATGATCGATTATTATATTACACAGCACGAGAATGGAAGTTGTGTCCGAAAGGCGCTAAAATGTGAATCGACGAGAGTAAAATTTCTTAAATGCCAGCATTTTTCATAAAAAAGCTGCGATTTTTTTAATGGGCACAAAATGTGTGCTAAGTCGCTAATTGTTTATTGCATATTTCTCTGAAGAGCATCAAAATTGATGAAAAAAAGAGAACTTTTCAGCAAATGAACCGAAAAAAGAGCCAAAAAAACTCAAACTAAGCTCAACAGTACCAATTTGACAGCGATCCACCTCCCAAAAACCCAGAACAACAGCAACAACGATTAAAAAGGCTACGACGACTTTTCAAAGCTAACACACTGTGTGTGTGTGGTGTTGATCCATTATAAACCGAAATTAAATACAACCAAATAACGGTAAAATTACAATTAAAAATGACTTTTCATGGGCAGCAATAAAAAAGAACTTAGATTGTTTCGCGCTTTTGTTGCTGCTGCTGGTGGCAGCTACTGCTGCTTCCTTTCCACTTGCCACATACATATACACACGAACACCAACACCACATCAGTCGCAGTCCTCTTCTTTTTTAGTCAATTCGATGCCATCCATGCTTTGCGCGCATTTTACACATCTACACATCAGAGCGTATAATACGCACACAGAAGCGCGCCCGCGCATATAATTTTTATTTAAAAAAAATTTTATTCCCTCATAATAAATTTTAAGCTCATGCTGACTCATCGTTTAATGATCGCTAAGAGGCTATATAGCATTTTAAAGAGAAACGTGATTAATAGGTTTGTTCGTGTTTTCGTTTTTTTTTCGTGCGGGTTTATGTGCGTTTTCATGAGAGGATGAAGCGAGGTAGGGAGAGAGAGAGAGAGAAAGCGCGCTCGCGCGAGTATGAGGATATGAGTTTCCCATTGTATGGCACGAACTTTATTCAAGAACACTGAAATAATTTGGCAAAATTGCTTACGATTTTCTAGTTTCATTTTGCCAAACGCTCACACTGCCTCGCGCATTGACGCTCATTCGCGCTTCCCAACAATTTATTTTCTCATTTTGGGTTGTTCGTTTTGATACTATTAATTTTATACTTGTGCGTTGATGCGTGGGAAAATATGTAGTTGAAATACACGATACAAAGTGGCAGTTTCAAAATTGCAACCAAGAGAACTTACCCACCTCCCTTATCATGGAAAAAAATGGGCTACGAATAGGCTTTAGCGCCATTGAGACGAGCAACCACAGTGGGGATAATTCGATGTAATACGCATTTTTTTTCATTCACCTATTTTGTTTAATTCGCATTAATAAATTACAAAATTCACTTGCCCTTCCATTTGCCATTTCCAAAAAAAGCGAACACATAAAATCTCCAATGAAAAAGTAGACTGACAACATTCAGTGTAGAAGAAATATGTCGCAAAAAGAATAAATGCGAACGCGTTCGCGATGCGGCTCAAAAGGGAATTTTTCATCGTTACTTCCACTTCCACTTCCTTTAACCATTCATATTATTTTTTGTCCTTGTTGCCGCTAGCCTCTCGCTCTCTCTTCGCCACTTTCTTTTGTCGTTAGTTTCCCTCGCGCCGGTTTTGATAAATGAATTGTGAGAATTTCATTTCTAATTGGATGAGTGATATTCCAAAGAGCAGTGTATTTTCATGCGAACGCTCACGCGCTTTCTTTTACATTTCCTAGCACATCAATCCCGGCATCCACACACTATCACGCACCCGAATCAAATCATTCCGAAAACTTTTCCAATGTATACGCATTCAATGGCAAATCTTTTGTAAATCGTTACGCTTGCTTTAATCATTTTTGGTAAATGCGCTAAGCACCGCTGTGAATACACCCGTAATGCTTTACGTAATTATGAATATTGAAGCGTCGGTGTGTTGCGTCGTCGTCGTCATTGTCGTGTTGCTGTTGTGTGCAAGGCTTGGGATGAGAAAAAGCGATTCCTTAGTGTGAAAGTCCATTTTAGAATTCGTGTCAACGCGCCAGCAGCCGAAAACATTGTTGTTACAAAGTCATGTTTTAATTTTCTCACTGCGCCAATATGTGAGAAGCATCGGCGGTGCTGGCCCCGTAGAGAGAATGTGCAATTCCAAGTGACTGAATGTGTGTGTGATGTACAATGTACACCAGTCACGCTCACGCTCTCTCTCTCTTTCTCCCATTTCCGAGCACCGACCAAGTCAAATTAAGCATTCATTAAATGTTTGCGTTGTTCGGTTTTACTGCTTTACAAGTACAACAATGAGCTGTTTTATTTCGTTTATGTCGCAAATAACTATTAACCGCCGCTCCATTCGTCCAAGAGAATAGAGGCGAAATGAAATTACCGAACAGTTTTGAAAATGATAGTGGCAATAGTCACACAAATTGAAATCACAAACGAGAACAAATATTGTCGAAATGATGGAAACAATGTTTTTGTTTTCAACCACCTCCCTCCAACTCCAATGGAGCCGCAATGCCAAGAGCGAAAGAATAATAGCAACAACAGAAATAGAAAAAGAGAGAGAGAGAGAGAGAGAGGAAGAAAGAAATCAAGTAGAAATGGTATTGTTGTTGTGTTGCCTACCTCAGTCATTATGGCCGGAGACGATGCTGTCAAAAATAATTACACCATACAAATTATATGGTCAAAAGTTCGAGAGCTACAAACAAGGACATTTGTGGAAATAAAAATCTAAGCTGATTTCGTGCTGTTGTTCGGTGTAATTCATTGTGAGAACATTCCATTGGCAAAGTGCGCTACGTGTGCGTGATTGTCCGTCCCGTGTGCTCTGGGCTCTCATTCACCCCATTCAACGACACCGAATAAAGGGTGTCCCAAAAGTACCTGACCGATTTCTTTTTTGAATAAAATCTGCAATTACCGACGGATTTTTGTCATATTTGACAGGTGACGTCTCAAAACTATAGGATTTGGTTCGGAGTTGAATTTCATATGATTTTTCCATTTATGACCAAACCAGCGGCTTCTATTTTAGAGCATAATTTGAGCCCTAAAGTTCGGGAAAATGTTGATTTTTCCGACATGGATCGATTGAATATCGTGTTCAAATGACTCCAAAATGTGGTGGACTTTCGATACAACATTTTTCAAAGATATTTTGTACGAATTAAATTGGTTTTGTTGAGAAATTTTATCAAATTCGGTAAAAAATTAGGGAAAATTCGTCAAAAAATGTTGTTTTTTCAACAAAGGTGTTGACGAATTGCTCTAAATCACTTTAAATAAGGCTACTGGAAAAAAAATTCTAATGTGATATGTTCGTCAAGTCCTAGACCGTCAATTTGAGTTTAAATTTTAAATTTTTCTTGTCCCGGTCGTGGCCAATTTGGCCAAAACGGCCAAAACGAGCCGAAATTGGCTCAATAACGATATCTCGTAAACTATTCAAAATTTCTAATCAGTTCCCAATGAGCAAAAATGTCTTCATTTAGGCCTGTCAGGATGGTGATTTTGTAACGCAGTTTCTATGTAGTTTATATGGGAGCGCAGGCCTGACCAGGCCCATTATTTATATGTCTGTAATAGACCTGAGATATGTATAGTCAATGGACCAATCACATTATAAAATTACTAAAGTGGACCATATGCCTGAAATAGGCACAATTCTGTATAATAATACAATGTTAGTGAGGCCTGTATTAAACATACTTGTATACACATTATATGCCTATGGTTTATGCATATATTTATAGTCAGAATTGCTCACTGGGTTTCTTCGGTGAAAATAAAGTATAAGATGGAAGGAAAAAGTTCTTTGAACAAACCATATCCAAAAAGACGGTGCATGATACCGAAAAGTCCTTCGGTACTTATACCTTGTAATATTAAGGGAGGACTGTTTTTGTAGTGTGAAACTTAGGGTTCGATTACTAGTTTGTCTGTCATGTATTGGGTCGGAAGCCCAATCAGAACTAAATCCTATAGTTTTGAGACGTCACCTGTCAAATATGACAAAAATCCGTCGGTAATTGCAGATTTTTTTCAAAAAAGAAATCGGTCAGGTACTTTTGGGACACCCTTTATATATTCTCGAAAGAGCAACCAAACGAACGAAACACACGAAAAGACGAAATACCATGCATTACAGCAAACTGCCATATAATTATTTCGCCGTTCGAACCGTCATTGTATGAAATGAGTTGGCGGTCGAAAATTTTGGCTATGGAATGGCTTATAAAAATTGCTTTCTGTTTGCATTTGGCAATGGCATGTAACACATTGGACACCGAAAATGCCTTGTCGCTCTCATTCGCTGACTCGTTCTCCTACACACACACACACACACACACACTCGCTCTCTCTCTCTCTCTCTCTCTCTCTCTCTTTTGCTAGTCACCGCAAACAAGTAAATTTCACCCGAAAATAATGGATTTATACATTGAAATTCAACCCCATTTACATGTTGCCGCTGCTGCGAAGAAAAACATCACAACATCAACAACAGCACTAGTACCAGCACCAGCAGCAACAACAACACAGAGAAAAAAGCAGTACGACCGAAAAAAAAATCGGGGAAAAAAGAACAAGCATGCACGCAGCACACTAGTTAGTGTGTACGACGCGTTTTGTACATAATGATGGTGAGCTCTGTCGCTTGCTCGCTCTCTCTCTCTCTCCTTTCTTGTTTTTCTCCGCTGTAAGTTGTCGCTGTAAACCGTGTTGTGTGTTTGGTGCTCATTGTGTTCGAAATGATGAATGCCATATAACAAATTTAGCACATAAACGCGATGCGACACGATAGAGAAAGAGATATGATGGCGGTGGCAGAGTGGCGGTGGTGGTGAGCAAGGCGAGCAACAAAGAAAGCGAATGAGGGACGTTGATTCGAATGGTATCGTTTAGAAAGATGAATTCTGCTGTCATTTATGCTCGGTTACAATTATATTTTACCCTAAACAATGTGATTAAACTGAATCCAAATGATTTTGAATGTACGTGAAGTGAATGCTGTAAAGTGGTCTTGCCAAAGCTGTGTGCACGGCCGATCTCTCACTCATGCTTTCTGTCGCTCCCCCTCTCTTTTGCTCTGCTGCTTATGCTTCTCGTCCTGTCTGCATCTATGGCATTCACTTCGTTCGGCTCGCCAGCCGAGAGAGAGAGGGAGAGAGAGAGAGCTCTCTTGGATTTTCGGTACCACGGAATGAACAAACGACAACAACGAAATTATTTTAAGTGGAGTTGTTTGAGTGCGTGTGTAAACGTTCGCATCTAGATTGCTCGCGTGTTTTCTGCATCCTCTCGTTTGCCCGTTCCCTTTCACTCTCTATCGTACACTGACTATAAATGGTGCCATTAGAAAATGAAAAACGACTCTGGAATTTATCGCTATGCAAGCGATTTTTGTATGATTTTCACCGAGTGAATAAATTGCGGTGTTCACAAGAGCTGCCTCAGCTCTGCCGCCAAATCAAATGCACACATAAAAACCGGGCGACCGACACAAACACACACACACAGCCCAGAGAAAGAAAGAGTGGCAGCAACAACAACAGCAGCAGCATCAATATAACACAGAGAAAAAAAATGCAAACATGAAATGATTTAAATAGCGCACTCTACTGCGACATGAGTCGACTGTGTTTCCTCCCGCTCGCTCTGATGTATCAATTTATGCTATTTTATATAATTTGTATAATTTGCGAGTTTTGTGAAGCGTAAAGTAAATCAGCCTTGGATACAAACTCTCTCTTTTCGGATTCGGATTCGAATTCAAATTGGGTATTTATCTAAGCAAAATTTCTTATTAAAACTCTTTTATTCTCTATATTCTCGTTTCATGTGTTTTTTTTCCGTCTCGCATGGATTCTTCGATCGATGCTTTGCGCATGGAACCCCAGGTCGAATGTAAGAAAGCGCAACCGAAAGAAGTGATGCTACCGACGAATCTTGCCAAAACGCGTGCATCTGGAAGGACGGCATACGGTGAGTTGGTAGTTTTGAGTGGTGGTCCATCAACAGCAACTGTTGGTGCGGCAACTAGTTCTTTACGATATGCACCCTATCCATTGCCAGCGTCAATATCTGGTATTCAACATCATCACCACCAACAACATCATCATCACCAGCAATTACAACAGCACCAACACCAACAGCAGCCACACCATCATCAAACGGCACACATAATTCCAATTGCAACTCCAGCTCCATCCATTTTACAATATTCGCCGTCGCCACAGCAAACGCTGTATGACACGGCCGCTGCGCTCAGCTATAAGCGTTTGTTGGCTGCAACAGCAACTGCATCGTTGCGTTCGCATCCACATCATGCCCATCATCAAATCCCTTCGGCTCCGGCTACGGCAACGCCTCGTGCAACTGCCACTCTATCCTATCCATTGTCCGAATTATTGGGCCTGCAGCCCCTTGATATGTCTCGCACATTTTTCTTGTAAACAAAAAAAAAACATTGGCTAAAACAATGCAAAACACGCAGAAACACTCCTAAGCCATTTTGCGTGGCAATGACAATTCAACACAAGTAAATCCCTTCTATTTGTTTTTCTCGACACATTCCTGTGCATGACATGTGTGGCATTCTTCGTATTTTCGTGACTAAATACTGTGTGCGCTGTGTGGCTGGGCTGAGTTGCGACATAAAGAAAGAAAATGAAACATCCCTTTTTCAAAACCAAACAAGCTCTTCACGGCATTCCACAAGCAACGAATCATTCATCATTCAATTCATTTATTTTCATTACTTCAGTTTAACCTGTCACGCATCTAAACCATAAACGTTTTTTTTAAAGAAGAAACATATAAATGATATATTATTAATATTCTTTTAAATTGTTAATCAAGAGTAATTTAGATGAAAATGAATCAAACTTTGCCACAAATCAGTCATTGTAATTTCGAATCAAGAAGAAATAAATGAAAATCATGAAAATGCGAGAAAAAAACGTATAAGAAATGATACACTATGAACAATGATAAGAAAAGTAATGAAACATTGAAGAGCTACCATTTTTTGCTCAACTATCAAGGAAAAACAGAAAAAAAATACTCAAATGAAAGAAGTATTTACTTTATACGAAAAAAAAAAAATACATGAAAACCAAGAAACAAATACTCAAACACGAAATACAAACTGAAAATAAAAATTAACCAGATTTAAAGAGCAAAGAAAAAGTTTGATCTGTAATAGGAGATCGTATAATAGATCCTTTAAAATAGTATATATATGATCTCTGTCTTTGTTTAATCTATATATATCAGCCACTGAGAGTTTTACAAATTTAGACTAAGCAAATAGCCCACATTTAATCATAACTATGTCAATTTTAGGTTTTTCGTTCTCGTTTGTGAATCTAATGTATTTGTCACAACATTTTCTTTTTGATTGTGAGATTTAATTGTGTGAGGCGTGAATTTTAGAAGAAAGCTCGTCAACATATCAGACACACAATTAATATCCAAAGAAAAAAAAACCAACATTTTTTTGTACACATTACATTATTATATATATCACATAGCTAAAACTTTGATGAATATTGTCATTATTGAACGAACGAACGAACGAACCAAATTAATTCGATTCGATACATGTGCAAAATATAGCTAGATTAATAATTGGACCTATTTTCTATTTACAAACCAGAAAACAAAATCCATTTTGATTTGACTTTTTTTTACACAAATATGTTTTTTAGACGAAAATATTTTAAATTATCTAGTGGTTTTGTGTCATATGTCAGATTTAAATCAGAAAAAAAAACACTTTTGATTTTAGATAAAATGAATGGCACTCGATTGTGACCAATTCAACGTTTTTTTTTCTTTAGATTAGCCATTTTATTCCAATTTATTTTTATTACTACCAAACATTCACTCGATTCGTTTAAAGAACGTGTGAATAAACGATATATACATACTTATACATATATTTTCCAGTTTTTGTTAATATCGAAAACAGTCCAAATACAACGATAGGTAACAAGTTGACTAAATAGACACTTAATTCTAGATATGAACATTTTTTTTTTCTAAATAAACCCTAACAACTAAACATATTTAGCGCAAGTAAAATTCCACTGCTAACGACATTTAAACAATAGATACCAACCAAAAATAATGATTTCCATAAGCCAGACATGAGCATAGGAACACACGCACATCGTGTTTATTAACATGTTGCTTGAGACATTTAACAAATCAAATATCAGATATTTTCGTTGTTGTTGTTGTTACAACCCGCAGTTTCAAATGATGATTTTCATTAGTCCTCTTTTATTGATTAGCTAAACGTTCCGTAATCTTTAGTTTAATACAAAATTTACAACAACAAAAAACGTTCTGACTACTACAAAAATACAACGAAATCAAAGTTTCCCGTGCCAAGGGCATTAATAAAAATGGAGAAGCTCAAAGTCAGATCATTAGATGAATTTTAGATTTTACAGATATATTTTTAAATGTAATCTTAAAGCAAATTATATCATACGAAGCCATAGATACTAAATTGTAACGAACTGTAATGTTAAGAGAAGGCATAGCTGATTAGATGAGATCTTAGATCTGAAATACCGCCCACAAACACTGGTGAATTCTCATGTGTGCAAGACAAAAACCAAGAGGCGCCGAAAAAAAAGACAAAAAACCGAAAGAAAAACCAAATCCAACACCGCTACCAAAACCAAACCAAACCGCAATGTCGCAATGCCAAGAGAGAGAAATGTTGTGTATGTGTGAGTTATGTTTAGCCTGTCGACTAATATTTTTCGTTCTGATTCCGATTTACTTTAAAAAAAAATACCGTTGCCATTACCTGGTTTCACTTTCTGGGCCACTATTGGGAAGTATTGCCTCATCACTAGGTAGATAAATGCTAATCTCATTCAATTTCCATTTTCTTTTTAAATATTGAATTTTGATAATGTCGAGAACTAAAAAAAACACACAGAAAAAAACATTTTTTTTTATTTGAGTCTCAAATTTTGAGCTATTGTTTTTGTTTTTGATGTAACGATTCCTAATCATAATAATCGTCTTAGTATTTCACCTAGTGAGATTTCGATTTTGGTCAAACTATATTGGCCGGCGTTCTTTCAAATTAGCTACTTAGCGAAATAGTGCGAATCCGATTCGAAAAAACCAAAACTACTACGTAACCAATAACATTTGAAGCAAAACTTTATCTATTTTAGAGGCGCACAGACAATTCATATACCTATACAGTTTTTTTCTTTGGTTATTGCTTTCTAACGAAATTATTTTCGTTTGCTTTTTGTTTTCTTCTTTTCTCGTTCAGTCTTTCTTTATCGAATTTTTCCTAAACTAATTAATCTATTTCATATTTGTGTGAGTGTATCGTTTTTTTTTATTCCGGTCGACGGTCCAGTTGTTGTGCTGTTTTCAATATATTGTTATTTTGCGTGTGCTTAGTTGAAAACTAATTGTTGGAGTTGATTTTTATCGCTTTCTATATCTATTATTCAAGCGACAAATGCAATGAAATCAAAAAGTCGATCAAAAAGGATAATCAAGTCCCTTCGTTCTTCACACACAAATTCGATCAAATGCCCGCATTGAATGCGTTATTCAATGGCCATATTGAATAATTGAATTAATAGGTCTTTTATTTCCCTTCTGCTGCTATCCAGCAAATTCATTTCTTTGCTCTAATTTCGTATCAAAACTCCCTCCTTTTCTCTCTCTCTCTCTCTCTCTCTCTCTCTCTCTCTCTCTAGTACTTTTTTTCATTTCTCGTTCACTCTCGATTCGATTTGAGATTCATTAAACACGAACTATTCATAAATGTTTGATTTCGAAGTTCTTCGGTGTTTGAGTAGAATCAAACACAAAGAACATACAATTTCCACGTTTTCATTTCATGTCCAAATTCCTTCGGAAATGAAGAACCACACCATCATGTTCATGACTTTGCTTTGGTCTTGCTTCGGAAAAATCGATTACAATCTGAGTGCCATATTTATTCGTATAAATGAAGGTTTAGATTAGAAAACAACAATTATATCGATAATATAGATTATTTTTGTAATCAGTTATTTTTTTTTTCTCAATAAAATAACACGAATTAGTTAGCAATCGGAGTATGTGTGAGTCTCGTGTGATTTCACATTTCGTCACATAATAAGAGCTTCAGAGCTTCATGTGGGGAGTTCACGCGAACATAACATTTCAACTCGTTCCTTCCGAAATATCAACCGATTCGAATGGATTTTTCGGTCCAAATGCCGATCACATCGGCAACCTCGGCTCCATCGGCTGCTGCTGTTGCTACACCATATTCACATCATAGACCACCTCCCAAAGCCAGCAGTGGATACCAATCCAAATGTGATCTGAATTTAGAGAACGTAGTGAAAAAATACCCTAGAAATATTCATGATTTTCAATATTTATTTTCTTTTGTCATTCTTCTTTAGAGAAGAATTCATAGAACTATAATGAGGACATCGTCCAACGATTGTGTAGTTTGAAATCATGTGATATAAGTCAAGTGAATAATCCGTTCCTATTCTTACGAGAATTTTAATGAATGACAATAAGTAATTTAGATAGAATAACAAATTGTCAATGACAAACTGAAAAACGATGTGGAATCTAAAAATATTCCAACCGAACGAGTAGTTTATATCACATGATCGAAGATAATTGGATGATGTGTTTCGATTTATTTTATTTTTGTTTCAACTTGTTTTTCGTTCAAATCCCTGTTCAATTTTAGTTATTGTTCTACGAATTTTAGTCCGTAGTTTTCTATCGTATCTAAAATCAAACAGTACTTGCAGGTTCATCGAGTCAATTAAGTTTATGACCATCCAAATGTCCATTATTTTATTGCAATGTCGATATGTATCGGACATTGGGAATTAAAGTAAAGCAAAAGCTATTTCCCTTCAAAAATGCGAAAACCACTTCAATTGTTCAACTTTTCCCAATTCCAAATGTTCGAAATTGTTCGGAATAATAATAAAAGAAACTTTAACAATGAAGGTAACTTCATTCATCAACACAAGAAATCCATATAAACTTTAAATTTTGATGGATTTAATGAATAAAAAGCTTTAGTGGCATGGCGCCGGTTCATTACTCCGTGCGAAATTTCTTCGCGTATTTTTTTCGCCTGAAATATCCGCAGCAAATGAAAAGGTCATGACATTCCCAAATGGGGGAATAAAAAGCGAGAACAGAATGATTAAAACCACTTTCGTGTGGATTAATTTCGCTGTTCAATGGCCACCAAATATATTCAATTAAATTGATCAAAAAAAAATGTTGTATGCCGATTGAAAATGTCCTGCAGTTATTGTGCGATTGGATTAAATTTATATTCGATTTCGAAGAATTTAGCTTAATCAATTAGTATGGACGCCAAAATCTAATAGAGATTATTAAACGAAAATGATAACCGAGAGAGATACTATCGGATTGAAAAAAATAGAAAAACAAATTGTCAATTGAAATACGGAAAACCATTCATTCGCAAATATTGTCGCGTGTGTGTTGAAAATGCGCACATATCAAAATTAGATAATCAAATATGTAACCGTAACTGATTAAAATTCTATATATATATATAATCCTTAGCGAAACAACCATATATAATCCATTTTATGTATTTGTATATCAAAGTGATAAAAAAAACAAGCTGGCAAAATGAAAATTACAAACCTAGTGCGTAAAATTTAATTCGAAATAGTCGAACCGAGTGTTAATGCCAACCAACCAATCAAACCAACCAACCAGACAGACAAAAAAAAAGTCAAGCAAATATTGTGCCAATTATTTTCTCTAGTTTTTATAATCGAATTTTTGCTGTATTTTTGTTTACATTTTTAATAGAATGCAAAATAGACAAACAACAATCCATATATTTAACATTCATTGCAAAATAGATCTATCGTGTCCAAAAGAATACACACATTTATATATATAATTTTTTTTGTAAACATTTAGCGAGCGCATAAATATTACTCTAGATGAAATAACAACAACCAAACCATATAATCACATACATAAATAGAACATATAGGTATATAATTTTCGTAGTGAAAACCGTCGATTTTCTCTTAATAATTCATTGTCCGTCAATATCTATTTTTGTGGTTTATTTGTGAGATTTTAGAGAGTTTTTTTTTTATATTTTTTTATATCCTCCTAACTTACAAAACAAATGAACAACAATCCAAACACACAAAAAAAATTGAGAAAAAATGGAATACACATTTTTTGCTCTACATTTATTTAATTTTTCCATATATTCGTATTATTCTTTTCTGTTTATTTTTCGTAATTGATCGTCGAACTAATGCAAAAAAATACTATTGATTCTTCAAGCCATATTCATAATACCAAACCAATGCTATTTAATACAAAGAAATTAATTCATGATTTTTCTATTTTTTCCCTCGATTTTCGTTTCTTTTTCCATCGCTTGACCGCTTCCGCATCCAATCAGATAATATAATGTGGGGATTGGGAACATTACCAGAAGGTGAGTACTATTGAATGGATACCTCTTTGGTTTTTGCATTTATATTTCGAGAAAAAAACAACTCAACGTACCAATAATAATAGTGTGTTCGGTCGTTTGTGATACAGGTTTTCCGGCTGCTGCGTATGCTGCCTATGCAGCTGGACGCAGCTATTCAGGATATCCTAGTTTTGGATTGCCTTATCCAACAGGTAACAATCATTTGATATGAACATTTTTTTTATACGGATTAAATTTAAACCAAAAAAAATCATTTTTGTTGTGTTGTTGACAATATCTATATATATATATATTTTCAACTTGTCTATCATTATTACTCGCGTATGTACGCGCGCGTATGCCATTTGAATATAGATAATTTTTTCCTTGTTTTTGGATTAAGTGAGGCTTTGTCTGGTCTACATGGTTGCAACGGTCCATGTGATCCATCTAACACGTGTTTCTTTTTTATTTCTCTAAACCATGCAAAAATGCGAAACTAATCCAAACAATAAACAGCTCTCTCTTTCCTTCACTATTTTGGCCAAATAAATTCTGTCATCCATTGCGAATGATGCGTTTGTTTTTTGTATTGTTGTCCGTATTTTCTGCACTTACAAAGAGTACTGAACGAAATACAATGAACAAGTCATTCCAAATGGATGAAACAACAACAAATCGTATTTATTGAATTTAGCAACCATTTATAGCGTCATTCTTTTTTCACTCCAACAATCCGTTCAACCCCCTCGCGCACTTTGCTATTTTTGATATTAACGGATTTACCTGTTACTAAATCGACATTTTTTTCGACAACCTCCCAAAATACACATGAAATTTTAACCATTTGACCAACGCACTAGGGATATGCAACCCTTTTTATTTTTGACTAAAACCGATTTTTGTGCTCTTTTTGTTGTTTGAATGTGTGCGTGTGTATGTTCCGTTACAATTTTGCTAACCGCAACTGAACAACCCATAATTATTTCCCGAGCAGTGATTTTGTTTGCATTCATTCCAAATCAACTGTGTATGGGTGTGGATGTGTTTATGAATTGTATTTGATGCCATTCCGTTCAAGGATGCACTATGACAAAAGGTTCAACTTTTTTTTCCTCCTCCATTTGATGAATAATTGAATGAGCTAGAATTGCGGTCAAAAGTTTTTAATCAAATTACTTTATTCCAGAGTTATATATTAATCAAGAGGAAATATGAATTTTGTTAAATGATGTCGAGAGTTGGTGTTTTTTTCCTTCAGCCCGTCGCATCATGCAACTATTTCTTAATCAAATCAATCAAAATGAATTAAAAGTAGTTTTGAAGTTCGTTGTTTTACCGTAAATTGTTGAAACAGAGATAATTATTTTTCATTCCATTCATTCGGTACTGACGATCAACAATTCTCTTCAGCCAACTGTTCAAACAGCAATTTGAATAGCGAGATTTAGTTTGCAGTGTTTATCGAGTTGGTATTCACAGATCAAAACACTCACAAACAAAATGAACGCATTTCAAAATTGTGTGCGAGCACAACGAATCGTAAAATTCCAAATCCGCTATCTCTCTCTCTCTCTCTCTCTCTATCTCTCTCTCTCTCTCTCTCTCTCTCTCTCTCTCAACAAATTTTATGATCCACCTGATGGTGGATTTTATCGTGATTTTCCATTTAAAATTCTGTAATAAACCGGGATAGTTGCGCAAACTAACTATGAGATGGATTCACAGAGAAGAAAAGTATGTGCACTCATTTTTAACACAAACATGTGAAATGTTTGGCTTTCGTGGTTTTTTTTTCTTCTGCTGACTGAAAACTATTTTCCCGTTGTTGGTTTCCACATTTTTCGCCGCTTTTTTCAATTCGGTCGCAACCGAATTTCCCAAACGTAAAACAGGGAACGAAAATGCTTAATTATTTTCATTTTTAGTTTTCATTCGAAATGTTTAAGAAGTTTAATTCAATATACAAGCAGACAGTGTCAAAGGATTTCGAGTGAAAACCCCTTCACTGTTTGAACGATATAATAACTAGAATGAATTTCCGCCTTTTCCAAAACGGAATGCGAATATTTGGTTATACTATTTTTCCACTTTGATTCGGTTGTGTTCACTCTCTCTATGTCTCGCTCTCTCAATTGTTCTCGCAATCCGTTGTTGAGAGCCAAAACCCCAAAATATTGCACATTCTTTTGTATGAATTGGCCACAAAAATATTTCGAAAGGAAAATAATATGAAAACCGCTAAAATTCGTAGCATTCGTTTTTCTATTTGTGTGTGTGTGGTTGTTCTGTGTACAACATTCAATTAACCATTTTTGGTAAGCAATCACGGAGCATACTTTTTTCACTCTCGTGAAATTCTTTCGTATTCCCATCGTTTCCGTGCAATATCTCTCTTTTTTTCGAGTGTGTTGTTTTAGTTGCTGGTGTGATTCTGAGACACATTTTCGGATAGGGTGAACCATTGGTGTAAATAGCTATAGGCAAGTGTCTCAACTGACAAAAACATCGTCCATTCTATCGTCCGTTCATCTCTAAAAGCTTGATTTTGTTTTTATTATGGACAATCTCGAATCGTACCGGAGATTTTCACATCGAAAATCAGCATGATGTTTACACTCTATCTCCATCCGTCGCACATTCTCACTCTTGCTCCTGGTCTCTTTCTTGCTCTCTCTCTCTCTCTCTCTCTCTCTCTCTCTTCCTCTCTCTCTCTTCCTCTCTCTCTGGCTGACTCGTTTTCGCTCTCGCTCTCGATCAGCTCTTGTCCTCATGCGATATTTACATTTAAATGTGTTCAGAAAGTTTCCGGCTGACTGTAAGATTTTGCAATGCAAAGCATCTACATAAAAACTCTTATTAACAAGAGTTTCACTGACCTCAGCATATCATTTTAGGCAAGCGTTTCCAGTTTGTCTTGGGCTCTAGCGCCCGGATGCACATTAGAGATAAAAAAAGGACGTCGCAAATATTTACGAGAGCGTGAGAAAGAGAGAAACAGAGATACAAACAGAAAGGGAGAGGGTGCTAGAAAGAGTGGATATCAGAGAGTGAGAGAGCGAGAAAGACAAAAACCTACATCGAAAGAGAGACGTATCGCAGCAATACGTGCAAGTACATGCTGAATTTAAACCACTAATTCCAAACACTCTGGCCATTCACTGCATAATAAATACGATTTTCATGTAAGTGTCGTATTAGCGGTCGATTTTGTCATATAAAATAGCATTTTATCGCTTAGAATTCAATGTATTCGGGGCCATTATCGTCTCCCGAAAATGTAAAGAGGGTGTACCATACAAGCACACACACATACACATGCATTCACTGGGACATGCTATAGTACTGCAAATTGCTTTTATAGTCTATATCGGTTTATGTAAATGCACGAACTTTTTATGGATCTTTCTTTCTCATACAGTTGGGCTGGCCGTATTTTGAGGTTGATTCGAAAAGATCTGATGGAAATTCCGTACAAAATTACGACGACGACGACGACGACACAACACAAAAAAGGAAAACACTTTCATATGTTAAAAAGCATTTGAAAATGGCTTCAACTTTGTGAAAATAGAAAAACAACTATCAAATGAGCCAACTTCCGTTACGCATTTTTTGGCAAATGAACGAACGGATTTCAGAGTTGGCAGATTGTGCCGTTTGCAAATGCGTGGCCAGTCTACGCAAAGTTGAACGTTGACGATGACGCTTAGTTTAACCTCTAATGTGCACGCATTGCATAAAGCACAAGAGGCATGGGTATGTGTGTGTGAGTGTGGATGTAAATATACAGAGTCCATATATTGCATAATCTATGCGAACGACGACAGTAGTCGTCAGATATAGGAAAGATGCAATATAATTACTCATCGAAAAAATATGCACACTCCGTTTATGCAACAATGACTGAGAATGCAACGTAATGATGACGAAGTCGACGATGAGATGGCGAAAGAGCGTTAAAAGAGTGTGTGAATGCAATGATGTATGCAATGCACTACACTTGATGTTTGAACGAACATGAAGTTCTTGTAAGCATCATACTGAACAGACACACGAGTTCGAAAGAAAATTATACATGATCCGAAATTGCGGAAAACACAATGTTCATTTGAACCATTTCCGATGCATTGCCATAACTCGTTCCAATCGAATCGAACATCGTATCATTCATACACACACACACACACACACACACACCGAGGAGAGAGATAAAGTTTTGCCCCGTACCATTCGAAAATTTTTTCATTACTTTGCTACAATATTAACTTGCCATACTTTTACATCGTACACGATAAAAGGTCTACAACAGCAACGATGTCTGGCCCAGAGCTTTTTGAAAGTAGCCTAACGCATTTGGCCAAGCGAAACAAAATAGTAAACAGAACATACGCAGAGAAAGAGCCATAAAGAAAAAAAAGGAAACTAAATGTAAAAACCATTGGTGAATATGTCGATGCATCCATAACAAGGGTCATTTCGATTTCCCTTCATTCATTCATTGCATTTAGTTGCAAGTCATTTGAAGTTTTTCTTAATCTATATGCCAGTGCACCGTTCCATTGATGGTAATAACGGGTGGAATGCTAAAACGAAAACCCGTTTCGCTACAGTAAAATCTAATGTTGAACAATATTTTGTAATAATCCATCGCAACATCGAAGAGATTTTACATGCATGTCACACTGTTCACCATATCACAGTGCATATCTATTGCCGTGCAGTCTCACATTTGACCCCAATAACAGCAACGCATCCAAAAAACATATACATTCCGTCGCTCTCTCTCGCACGCTCTCTATCTCTCTCTCTCTCTTCTCTCTCTTCTCTCTCTTCTCTCTCTTCTCTCTCTTCTCACTTACATTTGCAGGCGCATCGAAAATGATATGTTACTTTTGCATGTGCTGTGCAACCAACATGTCGAACGAAGAAACCCGGTGGTAATTATAATGCAGAATCCACACACATACACACACATTTGCCATAAAATAATGCATTCGACCAAATGTGTGAATTTGTGTAAGACACATATGCATTGAAATGCAGCGCAGGGTGGATTGAAATTCCAATAAATACTTATTCACTGTCGCCCCGAAAATGCGAAGGACTCGAATTATTCGACTTTTACTTTTCCCCAACACACACACACATACACTCACATATCTTTGCACAAAAACGTGAATCGAATGCATTTTCCTCCCCGAAATAATGC